AAGGGATCAGGGAAGAAAGTTCCGGCAGGGATGGGGTTAGAGTCTCCTAGAGTGGTGTAGACAAAGTCCGGGAGATCCTGTTCACTTCCTCTAACTCAGCTGCAGTAATCTGCAGCTGGGGGGAAGGAGTGTGGACTTGGGAAGGAGGTACTACACACATGATTACATAGGAAGTTATTTTTTAGACCCTAAAAACCTAGATCATCTCATTAGATGCAGAATAAGCATTTGACACAGTCCAACATCTTCTCATGATAAAAACTCAATAAATTGGGCACAGAAGGAATGTACCTCAACACAATTAAAGCCGTATATGATAAGCCCATACTCAATGATGGAAAAGTTGAAAGCTCTTCCTCTAAGATCAGGAATAAGGCAAGGATGCCACTCCAACCACTTCTGTTCATCAGTACTAGAAATCCTAGCCAGAGCAATCAGGCAAGAGAAAGAAAAAGCTCCCAAATAGGAAGGGAAAAATGGTATTGTATGTATTTGCTAACAATGTGGTCTTGTAATAGAAAACCCTAAAGCCTCCACCAAAAAATATTAGAACTAATAAAGTTGCAGTATACAAAATTAACTCACAAAAATCAGTAGCATGTCCATTATATACTAGCAACAAACTATCTGAAAAATCAAGAAAATTCCATCTATGGTAGCTACAGATAAAATAATAAATTAAAAATAAATTTGATCAAGGAGGTGAAAGACCGTACACTGAAAACTATAAAACATTGGGCCGGCCCTGTGGCGCACTCGGGAGAGTGTGGCACTGGGAGCGCAGCGATGCTCCCGCCGCAGGTTCGGATCCTATATAGGACTGGCCGGTGCGCTCACTGGCTGAGCGCGGTGCGGGTGCCACCACACCAAGGGTTGTAATCCCCTTACTGGTCACGAAAAAAAGACAAAAAAAAAGTATAAAACATTAATGAAAGAAGTTGAAGAAAACACTGATAAATGCAAAGGTAGCCTGTGTTTGTGAATTGGAAGAATTGTTAAAATGCCCATACTACCCAAACTGATCTGCAGATTCAATGCAACCCCTATCAATGTTCCAGTGTCATTTTTCTCAGAAATTAAAAAAAAAAAAATCCTAAAATTCATATGGAACCACAAAAGACCCAAAATAGCCAAGGCAATCTTGAGCAAAAAGAACAAAGCTGGAGGCCTCACACTACCTGATTTTAAAATATATTTCAAAGCTATAGTAATCAAAACAGCCTGGTAGTGGCATAAATAGACACATCAACCAATGGAACAGAATAGAGAGCCCAGAAATGAACCTATGCATTTATGGCAATTGATTTTCCACAAAGTGGCCCAGAACACAATGGGAAAAAGTCTCTTCAATGAAGTGTATTGGGAAAACTGGATAACATGCACATGAATGAAAGTGAACCCCTATCTCATACCATGTACAAAAATTAACTCAATATGGCTTAAAGACTTAAACATAATGCCTGAAGCTGTAAAACTACTAGAAGAAAACGGGGAAAGCTTCATGATGTCAGTCTGGACAATGATTTTTTTGGATTTGACCCTAAAAGTCTAGACAACAAAACCAGAAATAGACAAATGTGATTACATCAAATTTAAAAGCTTCTGCACAGCAAAGAAACAACAGTGATGAGACAAACTATGGAATAGGAGAATATATTTACAAACTATACATCTAATAAGGGCTTAATATCCAAAATAGGAACTCAGACATCTCAAACAAACAACCTGATTTAAAAATGGGCAAAAGAACTGAATAGACATTTCTTAAAAGAAGACATACTTGGGCTGGCCAGTTTGCTCAGTTGGTTAGAGTGTTCCATACTGGCCAGCAGTCAAAAAAAAAAAAAGGCCAACATCAATGATCATCAGGGAAATGCAAATTTAAAACTACTATGACATATCATCTCACACCTGTCAAATGGCTATTATCAAAAAGACAAAAGTTAAGTGTTGTTCCAGGTGTGAAGAAAAAGGAAACTTTGTACACTGTTGGTAGGGATGTAAGTTAATACAGCCATTATGGAAAACTATGTAGGTTCCTCAAAAACTAAATCTAAGACTCCCATATGATCCAGCTATCCTACTTCTGAGGATTTTTTTTTTCCTTTTTGTCTTTTTTACTGACCGGTAACGGGATCACAACCCTCGGTG